CCATATCTACCCCAAAGTTAAGATAACATGATGGATTCCAAACCCTGCGCCGTTATAGCCCAACAACCTCATGAGCATTCACATTAAACCTGTAAACTTTGAACTATAAACCCGAAAACCTGGACAGCAAACTGTATATGTATATGGGTTTTTGGAGTCGCTGATTACGATAATAAATTATAGCGTTTTGAAAAGCTCTCGGGGTCAGCTACAAGAATATGTAATAAAAAATAGGGGATGCTATTTTAAAAAATTGGTGTAACCTTTATGTGACCTTCAGATAATTCTTCAAGGTCAAACCAATGGTACCATCTTATGTCCCCCTCGAAACCATACAACTTTTGTCTGAAACATTTTTGTCTGCTGGGCTCAGTTTTCGAGATATTTTACTGTCCAAGTTAAAGTGGGACACCCTGTATAATAAAGTATATTTTCATTGAGTACTTTCTGAGTAGTGAAGCGCACCCTATATAATTAATATTTCCTGAAGAGGCCGAAGTCCGACTTAAACTACAGCGCTATTAGTGCCACAATAAAGAGAGAGGGGAGGGGGGAGGAAGATTATTCGACTGATTTATCTTTATTAGCTTTCTCAGCTATTTCTAATACTGATTAATTTATATCAATATTCTGTTTCTTATTAAACACTGGCCAGTTAAATTCGAGTAAAATTTACTTTTACCTATTTATTACTAGCAATCTTAAGTCATTTCTATCACTGTATATTAAAAATGTACATTTTGATATTACTGAATTCAATAAGATTTTTTATTATATGATTTTTCATAAAATGCTGAAAGAAAAATATGTTAAAGATGTAGTAAAACAGTTGTTGTTTTCTTATTAAAAGAAAATGTATCGGTAGAGCAGGCAAAACTTTAATGATAATAAGATATGTTAGAAGGACATAATATAAAAATAAAATTCTTCTTTTAACTCTAAATTCCGAACATGCATTTCTCCATTTAATACATAACATCACTGTGTCGCGGCAGAAATAATTAATCACAAAAAGCAAAAAGAAGGTCTAGCTCTTGTTAAATGACGTTCACAAGATTCACAATCATCTAATACTTTAAAAACACATACATCCATAATATCCCTTGCTAATCTTATCAGATATGTTGTTATTGTGATACTGACGGCCTGCTTGACCTAATGATAATAAGTGTTGTTGATCACGTCATTTACATGAGTGTAAGAGAAAGTCCAAAGAACGCAATTTTAGTAGATGTCTATACTGATCAGTCATTTGTGAGCGTTTGATATAAGAACATCGGTTCATTGTGACATCACTTTAATAATGAAAATATTTATAACAATATAAAATCTCTCAAACAGTTAGATATTTAAATAATTTTTGGTGAATTTTTATTTATGCACAAGTACAATTCTTATTACAAAAACGGATACATTAAATTTAAGGTATTTAGTAATAAAGTATAAATAGCGTACTTCAATGTACTTGCTAATTACTAAACGCATTTAAGATATAAAGGCTGTAACTTTGTGCTGAAATAAATAATATATATATTTAATAATTTGTATAGTTTGAGGATTAAAAAAGTGCAGAACGAAACGAAACTTGATTAAGGTGGCCAATTATTTCGTGAACCAACGATGTTCACTGTTATATTGCTATCACTTATCCTTATATTATGGATGTATAATTATTATGTGCAACATGGAAAAACTGGGCGATTAATCAATCTTATACCAGGACCACCAGCTCATCCGATTAGTGGGCATGTATCGAAATACATATCACAATTTAGCTCACGTGGTAAGTTAAAATTTTTGATATATTCCTTTTTTATACATATACGTATATTCCATACAAGTTAGTAATTATGGTAAAATAATAAATTGATGTTTACACACGACTTTTTGAATGTAACATTTACAAACATTCCATTGTTTAATAAAGATAAACAATTATGTATATTATCGAATGTTGATTACTTTTAAGAACTATTTAAGCTTAAAACTATTTTAAAGAGAGTTAAAGTTCATTTTTAATTATTATGGTTATTTGAACAAAAGACGGTTACATTAAATATAATGGTAAAATCAATTGTATGCTTTTCGATCAATATTCATATTTCCGTGAATTTATTTAATAAACGTATACATATATACATTTTTAGTGGCGCTGTGGAAGCTTCTACGTTCATTATATAAAGACAACTATCCCATTTTTAAATTATGGGCATTCTCTGTGCCCGTAGTATACATCGGTCATCCGGATGATTTAGAGGTAATAAAATATAAAGCATTTTGTTCTGGTTTCTTTTTCTATTTTTGATATATTAGTGACAAGACGTAGGTATATTAAATTTTTATGTTTCTGTATTTTCTCGAAAAATATGTCTATTTGTAAGAAACTTGGTAAAGATACTTCAAGCATAATTCACTACCTGAAAAGTTGTTTAACTTTCTACAGTTTCAGCAGAGTTAGAAAATAACGTATTATTTATAGCGTCATTACCGTGACTCTTATTCAGATTATTACTTTTACACGGAAAAAAATAATTCTGCTGTGATAGCAAAATCGCCGTTGCTACTGCATATTCGTAGTAATAGCAATAAAATTTAGTTGATAGAACTAATTTTACGAATTATTCGTCATTATAGCAAAATCTATTTTGTTGCGAGAATAGAACAACATTCGCTGAGGATATTTGTAATTAAAATCACATTAATTTGCTGAAGCAAAATAATATATTCTTAGCAAATACCTTTGCTGTCACAACGAAGTAATTTGTTAATCCAGTAAATTATTTCAGCAAATTGCGATTAGTATTCGTAACAAATCTTCTTGCTATCCATATAGTAACGAACAGAATTTGCTACAACAGCATAAAATCTGCTGTGTCAGCAAATTATTTTTCTCCGTGTATCAGTAACAGTTACGTTTGTTGGGTAACAATAACAAAGTCAACCGTACTTCTATCGTTATATCTTGAATATACAAATTCATATTGAAAACTCAGCCAAAACTCTGATTCAGAGAATTAAGATTTCTTTACGTGATTGCTTTGGTAAATATTTACCCTTAGATAGCACCCGCCAATCAACTTCCGTTTGACCTTGATGTTGACCTTGACCCCCAAGGAGGTCAAGGTCATTGCCCATTCCCGTCGCTCATTGTTTGTTGAAAAGTTATGAAGAAAATAAGTTTGTATCGGGTTTGCGTATTTCTGTAAAGCACAATATTCTTGTGTGCGTATGGACCTACAAATGATGGAAAATTATTTGCTCTACAGAACAGATAATTTTCCATCATTTGTAGGTCCATACGCACACAAGAATATTGTGCTTTACAGAAATACGCAAACCCGATACAAACTTATTTTCTTCATAACTTTTTAACAATTGCAAAAAATCTAAGTATGTACTTTACAGTACATATACGATTTCACATGGGTTAATTTGCAACTTTCCACGTGAAGTTTTTGCGTATTTCTGTAAAGCACAATATTCTTGTGTGCGTATGGACTTACAAACGATGGAAAATTATCTGTTCTGTAGAGCAGATAATTTTCCATCATTTGTAAGTCCATACGCACACAAGAATATTGTGCTTTACAGAAATACGCAAACCCGATACAAACTTATTTTCTTCCTAACTTTTTAACAAACAATGAGCGACGGGAATGGGCAATGACCTTGACCTCCTTGGGGGTCAAGGTCAACATCAAGGTCAAACGGAAGTTGATTGGCGGGTGCTATCTAAGGGTAAATATTTACCGATATAAGCATGGATTTTGTCCCTAGCCAATTATATGCGACGTAAATGTGAGTTAGATATCGTTTGATAACACAGAAATATGTTCGAAATATTTAAAAGAATTATTTTAATACGTTATAAATATTTAACAAAATATATATGTATACGATTGTATTGTTATATATTATACATATATGATCATATATGTTCTATTCAATCAAAGACTATATAAAAATATTTATGAAATATTGTGATAAATATTGATAAAGTATTAAAATAAATCTCTTAAATATTTGTACATATTTGTGTGCTATCGAACGATATCTTTTCTCTTAAATATCTCAAAAAGTATTAGGCAAATCAACAAATGTTTCGAACTAAAGCCAACGGCACACGATACTGTTTTTCCTACTGGATTGCTTACGAGAGCCAACTAGGCTTTAGCCTTAAATCAGGTGATCTAAAACTCTGTACCCTTATTGGCTCTCGTAAGCAATCCAGTAGGGAAAATAGTATCGTGTGCCGTTGGCCTAACGTTGTTCATATTAATTAGTAGAATAAAATAGTATAATAAACAATTGGGGGTATCATTTAAAAAATTAAAGGCGATCTTCACGTGATCTTCAAGCAACTATTCAAGATCAAATTAATGACACCATCTTATGTCCCCCTCGAAACCATACAACTTGTGCCCAGGTCATTTTTTGCTAGCCCCCTTCCCCGAAGAGATATTTACGTGCGACGATTAAAATATCTCACTCAGTACATATATTTCAATTTTTGTTATGTTTCTTAAAATAAAATAAAATATTTTATTTAAAAAATCAATTACGTCTTTTATCTTTAAAATATAAAAGAAGCAACAAAAAATTAACCGTTATTTGCTCAGCAATGGCACCGATAACGAATTACTTCTTAAGAAAAATAACGCTAACGGTAACGTAACTCTTTTTAAATAACGTTCCTGACTTTACATTCTGAATTTCAGATAATATTAAACAGCACAATACATATAGAAAAGAGTTTCATGTATGATATTTTGCATCCCTGGATCCATACTGGTCTTCTCACTAGTGGAGGTAACATCCCAGCAAACACAGAGCATTGCAACAATGTTGCGGCAATGTTATAATATTGCTGTAACGTTGCTGCAACGTTGCTACAATATTGTGCAATGGTCTATGTTTGCTGGGATAATAATGTTAAGATAAATGATGACATGTATGTTACTATGTTGTATGAACATTGCAATTTGCATCATCGGGCCAAGAAAATTCTGATACCGGTCAATATCAGAACCTCCAAGCATTGATGGCAAAGTGCATTGATTGTAAAACGTCAACATTACGCCAGACAGCCAAACGTACCGACAGCAAATTGTGCTTTTTATTATATTTGTAAAAATCATGCAATTATCACGCATAGTCTGATGTCTCAGAAAGCATCAGCTATAAAACTATAGCAACATTCGAGCAGGATTTGCTTCACAATATATTAATATATATGTAGCAAAAACAGATTAAAATTTTTCCGCAAAAAGATATCAGAATCAAAGTAATGTCTATCATATCATGTTACGTAACAAATATGGTAGCAAATATCAAGCAAGGTCTGGCAAATTGTAAGCTAACGGCAGACGGTCAGCAGAAATCAAACATGATGCAGTATCATATGGCAACAGTATAAGCACGGCAAAAACGCGACACGATCTGACATATCAAGTACGGACGGCAAAGTTATAGCAAAACTCAAGCACGGTCATATCGTGTCGGCATAAATGCGACAAACCTTATCTGCCTTATCAAGTGTTGAAGGCAAAAACATGGCAAAAATCGAGCATAACCTAATATCGAATGTAATTGCAAAAATACAGCAAACATACAGCACTAAATAACATACTTTTGAAAAATTAAATATTTTTAACTAGGGAAATAAATATAAATTAAATATGTATATGCCTAAACATATATTAAATTTATATTTCCCTAATGTATTATAATTTGTTACGTACTTTCTATTATAATATGATCATAGACAATGCTTGAGTTTTTTTTGTATTTCTGATAGTTTTATGATAGTAAAGTGTGCTGTGAAAAATTGAACCTAATAAGAAAGTATTTGATTAGAATCTGCGGGAAAATTATGATTGAATTGGCCTGCATGATTTTGCTATCCGAGACGTTGTGAATAAACGCGGCATCCATTCGGAAGCCATTACTACTGACGATATTAACAACAACAACAACGAAAGATTAAAAAATTATAATAGAATATTAAAAATGTATTGCAAAGTTTTTTTCGACGTTTTATAATTTATTTTCACAAAAATTTAAATGCACATTAAAAAAGAATAAATTTGGTGAGTAATCAATAGTTATAATATTAAAAATCTGTCAAATTAAAAAATATAAATCTCTTCGAAATATTTATTTCACCTTTAATTTTGCCCTATGTTGTTTACGTTTTAGGGATCAAGTGGCATTCACGACGAAAGATGTTAACTCCCTCATTTCATTTCACTATATTGCAGCAGTTTACTGAGATCTTGATAGAGGAAGCCGAGAACATGGCCGAGTCATTGAAAGATACAGGGGGCACAGTTGTAAAAGATTTACTACCATTTTTCAGTGAACATACGCTAAATGCAATATGTGGTATGTGTTCGTACATAACTGTACAGAATGTCATCTCTCTTGATGAATAACATAAGAAACAATACAAGTTTTTTATTGAAAATTTCAATATTATAACGTAGGCCTAGTTTCAATGTTGCTTAACTTTAAGCTTAGCTTAATTCATTCTTTGTCTCTTCCTAACTTTACTTTAGAAAGAAACAAAAGTAAATTAAACTAAGATTAAAGTTAAACGACGTATGGTGAAACCGGGCTTAGCTTAATTTATGCTTTCTCTTTCCTAACTTTAGTTTTCAAAGAGACAGTCGTGAATTAAACTAAAATTAAAGTCAAACGACGCTTTACTGATGCATAAATAATGGTTATACAGGGTGTACCTAAACTGGCGATAAATATTTTAATGACAAGTACTTTGTAACATTTTGAGACGAAAATTCTAATACGAAAAAGTCGAGGCTATAATAGTTTTCAAATGGGAACAGTTTAAACATCTCGAATAGCAAAGCTAGAATTTCGCGCGCTCAGGGATGGCAAAATGGCCAGTGATAAAGGTGCTTTCTTGAACCACACGTCTTAGACATTAATGAAATTAGTGTAAAAATGTATGCAAGAGTTTTATTAAGAAACTATTTCTGTTTATTTGCAATGAATTTTAGAAATAGTTTAAAATGTTTTTTTTCAATAGTTCAAATCGATATTGATTTGTGTCAACTGTCATCAGAATATCTATTTGAGTAAATTGCGACAAATGTCATCGCGGAGATTTACCAATTTAACCAAATAGATATGCTGATGACAGTTGACACAAATCAATATCGATTTGAACTATTGAAAAAAAACATTTTAAATTATTTCTCAAATTCATTGCAAATAAACAGAAATAGTTTCTTAATAAAACTCTTGCATACATTTTTACACTAATTTCATTAATGTCACAGACGTGTGGTTTAAGAAAGCACCTTAATCACTGGCCATTTTGTTATCCCTGAGCGCGCGAAATTCTAGCTTTGCTATTCGAGATGTTTAAACTGTTCCCATTTGAAAACTATTATAGCCTCGACTTTTTCGTATTAGAATTTTCGTCTCAAAATGTTACAAAGTACTTGTCATTAAAATATTTATCGCCAGTTTAGGTACACCCTGTATAATCACAGATGTACTTGAAACATATATCATAACATTATACGGATACTTAAACATACGTGTTTGCAGAAACTGCTATGGGCACTTCTATAAAAAGTCTCGGCGAGTTTCAACAACAGTATCGACAAGCGGTTCATCGGATAGGCGAACTGTTAGTTTATAGGTATTTATATTTTTTCTTGATAGTTCGACCGTAAGTGGCATAAATTTATTAAAGCGGCTACGTTTCGACCCTTAGTTTGGGTCCTTTTCAAGCCAACAATAAATCTCGCAACGCTAGATTCATCTGGAATCACGTGAACACATTAGCTGTCATCGAAGGGAAGAATATGACGAGGAACAGATAAACGAATCTTAAGTTACGTCTAACGTTGCAGGTCGATGAAGAACGATACAGTATAGTCAGAGATTTAAAAAATTAACATTACAATGTAGTCGAGGATCGATAAAGTAATTCGACATGTTGCCGTTACGCGAAACAGATATTTATCAGTAACGTCCGTGTCGCTCGGTGTATCGTGACGAACTGATGATTTAAGAGAGGGACGGACAAACACTCGTTAGCAAATCATTGTTGTTAAATAGGATGAGGGCGAACGAAGAAGAATTTCAAGAGGCTCTTATTATTCTATCATATTATATATCGATGGCATATTGTCAGTGTCTTTTTGTAGGTTGATGGCGTTCTTCGACATTTTTATGTAGAACATCTCAGCGATTTCCCTCTTTCTCAATTGCTACTCATTATGGAGGATCTCTATTTCAGTCCACTCAAAATCATGGTTATAATCAGCACGGTGTTTGCTGACGACCGAATGATTATTGACAGGCTTCTTGATATCTGAGCGATGTTCTCTAATGCGTGTTCGTGCCTCGTCACATTCTTCCCTTCGATGACAGCTAATGTGTTCACGTGATTCCAGATGAATCTAGCGTTGCGAGATTTATTGTTGGCTTGAAAAGGACCTAAACTAAGGGTCGAAACGTAGTCGCTTTAATAAATTTATGCCAGTTACGGTCGAATTATCAAGAAAAAATTTTTGGTAATTTATTACTGGCGAAGCATCAGTCTCTTGATATTTATATTTTGTTTATAGGTATAATATCTGATTGCAACACATGTCTGTATTCTTAAGATAGAGATTCATATTGAATAATTATGTCAAGAAATAACAATAACATTTAATGTAAAAGACCGTTCGTGTTGATAATTAGAAAATTATACATAGCACTTATATGAAATTTGTTAAATAATTTAATTAGGACCACTTTTTCACCTTCTTGATAAGTTGACTAATAGTCAAATTATATGTCTATCTTTGTCTGATTTAAGGGAAAATCAATAACATACGTATGACTGAATTATGTATTTATTTATGAGAAGTTGGAACAACCGGCTCTGAAAAATAATTATTACTTCACGTATACCAAATGTTAAATATTGAAACATCATGAAACACCTATTCTATATAAATACAGTAGTATTAATAGCTAAAGCTATATGTATATGAAGAAATTTATATAATATATATTAGCTAGCTATTTTAGTTAGCTAGCTAAAATATAATGTTTATATCGTTTATATTATATAAAATTCTACAGATAGCTTTAGCATTATTTCATTATTGTCGTACATTTTTTATATTGTTACTAAAATATTATGGTAAACGTTTACAGACAATTTAAGAAAATTTTACAAATTTAATATCTTGAAATAGTATACTTTATCGTTAATTTTGATTTAGATTTTTCAGGCAATGGCTGCATAACGATTGGATATTTTCGATGACGACAAAAGGCAGAGAGCAAAAGAGGGTTCTGAGGACGTTACATGGATTTACTGAACGAGTACGTCAAAATGTTACTTAATATTACATTTTTACTATTGCATTATACACCTTGAGATTATTTTGTCATTTGGGGGGTCTGTACTCGTTTATTAGATTTGTAATTCCGATTATCGAATGTTTTTTTTAGATTTTGCTTGAAAAGGGTCTAAATCTTAGGGTCGAAACATTGCGTTATATAATTTTTTATATTAAACCTTGGCCAATTAAAGTCGAATAAATCTTACTTTTTATTATGTTTGAATGTTATCTACTTTCAAATATTAGAATAAAAATTCCATGTTGATATAGAGCAGATATGGGATCACTCATAATTGTTGACAACACGTCACTGATATGTATTATATAAAAATCATAGAAGAAACTTTATAATGTTGTATTTACATATTTAGGTTATTGCTGAAAGAAAACTTTATCATGATCGCA